TTTTCTTCCTCTCTAATTATAGGAGTTTATATACGAATTCGGCTTGAAGTACTCAAAAACCAACATGAAATCCTCCCATCTTCCTCAGAATTTTCGTATTGTCACCGACACATAGACTCCCACAACACTATTTGACTCTTGTATTGTGGACAAGGTACGCATGGTATGGTATCACCCTCAGGTAAAGAAGCAAGACGTATGGTTGGACGAGTGTGAGTTCGACATCTCCAAGTGGGAAGGTCGCTACCGCCACGAGCAGGGGGAGCATGAGAAGACTGAGAGGAAGTATAAGGAGGCTCTCGAGAAGGCGGACAAGGAGAGGGTTGTGTTGAGGAAGGAAGCTCAGAGGCTTTCACTGGAGTTGGAGCGGGTGTTGGAGGGAAAAGAGAAGTTGGAGGCAACGATGAAGGAACTTGAAGCAACTGGTAGGATAAGTTTGCATGATGGGGAAAGCTGTATGGAGCTGTTCTTAGCTGCAGTGGAGAGGAAAAAGCCCGAGAGCCGTACCACATCTAGTTCAACCAGTATGTCAATGAAGTAGGTAGTCCTTTGCTCCACATCTAGGAGTAGAATGTTCAGGAGTCTGGTCTCGTACGAGCAACGGATCGTAGCGTTGAAGATGGAGACGGTGAAGTTGAAGCAAGAGGCTGAGGCGGTTGAGGGTAGCGGTGGTTGACTGGGCGTTTTACGCTGGGGAATTTATTCCGTTCAGCGAGTAAACGAGCGGCAGAGATGAGGGCCGAACGTGCTGAGAAAAAGGTGGAGTTTATGAAAGTGCAGAGGAAGGAGTTTGAGGAGACTCTTGAGAAGCTGATGAAACAGATTGATGTTGTTGATGCCGAAGTAAGCGGTCTACTACTGCCACCACTACTACTACTACTACTACTACTACTACTACTACTACTACTACTACTACTACTAGCACAACTTTCCATTCATTCAGTTAGCGTTCTTATCCAACTAAGGGACGTGCGCGCCTCGAATAACAGTAAACTTGTGCCATCGCGCTCTATTCTCAACATCACTGCGAGCGCGCCTCCATACACCACCACGATCCTCATAATCTTCTCTA